TGAATGGATTTAATATAGCGGAAACTGCCTCGCTAAGACATTGAATGAATTATGTACATACACGTATGACGAGTAGGTACATGTCAGCATGTATAGGTAAAAGGTAGGGGTATTATGTAGGTATAGATACATCATACATGTGCATAAGGCACTTATCGGTATCGGTGACTGGCTGAACTGCCCTTTATCAGTCACCGGGGCATTTTTAAGTTGCTGGGTACTGTGTAGATTTGGTCATCAAAGCCAAAGCCAAATCAGGTGCGACCGGAAAGGTGCAGTGCGCAGTGTGCAGTGTGCAATTGCTGCCTTGGGTCCATGTCATACCTAGCCTTTTTTCTTCTCCTCCACCCTCCACCCCCCCCCACGGCCAAACTATACCTTGTGCCTGTGCCTTCTCTTGCCTTCCGTGAACCTAAACCTCAACACCTACATTTTTCCTCTTTCGTCTTTCGTCTTTCACCTTAAAAACTAAAACCCTTTCATCATCATCATCGTCATCTCCACCATTCCGAACTTGTTGTTCTTTCGATTAAACAAGATTATACCTATCTCGCATACCTCTACCGTAAACCCATCTCGTCGTCACCGACAAATTCGTCAAGATGCGATCCAAGTTCAAGGACGAGCACCCCTTCGAGAAGCGCAAGGCCGAGGCCGAGCGCATCCGACAGAAGTATGCCGATCGTATTCCGGTATGTATTCAATCATTCATTTCTTCATTCATTTGCTCGTCAAGCTTTACATTGTCAAATTCATTATCGCCGTCATTGTTCTTATTACTATCGTCGTCATCATTTTCGTTGTGACCTTTCTACATTCCACCATCTCACCGCTTTGTTTGCTTCGCCCGTCCTCGAGACTCCTTGTATACTAATCCATACTCTTTGCAAACAGGTCATCTGCGAAAAAGTCGAGAAGTCGGACATCGCGACCATCGATAAGAAGAAGTATTTGGTGCCGGCAGATCTCACCGTAGGCCAGTTCGTCTACGTCATCCGAAAGCGCATCAAGCTGTCTCCCGAGAAGGCCATCTTCATCTTCGTCGACGAGGTCCTACCTCCCACCGCCGCTCTCATGAGCAGCATCTACGAAGAGCACAAGGACGAGGATGGGTATGTTTCTCCTCTCTTCACATCTTTCCCTTCTTTCTACCCCATATCTGCGCATGCTAACAAGACTGCTCTCATCTAGATTTCTCTACATAACCTACTCGGGCGAGAACACGTTCGGCGAGGCTGCCTAAGAAACCATCCCATGCTTTTCCGATTTCCCTTCCACCACGGCGTTACGGTTTGATCTGGTCTGGACGACAACGATGTGATTATTATTAGCAAATGAGTTATGGATAGGCCAGGATGAAGCACTGCGGATGGTCCACGAGAAAGAGAGAGAGTTGTATCTTCCCATCTCGTCATCTCGTCACTTGTCACTCATGATCCTCAAAGGTGTAGATGACGCTAGATGCTCTTTAGTCTAATTTCATCCATATCATTGTGATGTCTATCCATCAAGTTGTGTTTTATGCGGTCTTGCAGATCGAGGAATGACTCATGTGCAATGCATCCCGTTCCGGTGACTAATCGGTTCATTTTCCTTTCCTTGCTAACAGATAACTGAAACGAAAGCAATGTCCAATACGTGACGGCTCGTGAGTCACGATTAGACCCGAGCTCACATATATCTCCGTTATTTTGGTAATAGGTCATATTGTGCAGACCAGAAAAGTGATCATCTAACTACCCAGGACCGTATAATGTGGCAATATGCCTGGGCTTGGCACTTTGTCTTAGTAGTCAGTAGCTTCTCCTAGCTGACAGAAAATTTGGGTAGTAGATTTACGAGGCAGTGGTGTTGAGTAAAGTGAGTATAAGCGCGAGGAACGGGGGGGGGGGGGGGGGGGGGGGGGGTGAATAAAAACCGAGTGCGAGCACAATGGGGCGGTGGGGGGCAACCCGCGCGAAGCCGAACCGCACGGGGGAACCCAAACAACACCACCAAA